TAATTTTAATAAATAAATGCGGTGTTGGTTTTTCTGATGGTTCCCTTTTTCCTATTTTATAGGTTAACAAAATAATAGATTTTGTTGATTTGTTTCCCTTTAAAAACCGGCAATGGTTTTTGTGATGTTTCCATTCTTCCTATTTTTTAGGTTAACAAAATAACAGATTGTGTTGAAATTGTATGTAATCAAATTTTGTTAAATGAAAGTAACGCCATAATAATAATTTTGAAATAGTATGTAATTAAATTAGGCTTATAATATTTTAGATACTTTAAACAAATTGTTTAGACATTTTTTACATATTCGTCTATATATATATATACACATATATATACATAATTGATGTTAAATTTAAATATTAGGCTTATAATATTTTAGATACTTTATACAAATTATTTAGATATTTTTTTTACATATTCGTCTATATATATATATACACACGTCTATATATATACACACATATATACATAATTGATGTTAAATTTAAATATCCGTAGACATGTCTTCTTTACAAAATAGTCTAGAAAATGTTTTTTTACACAATGTTAAATTCAAATGTTTTTAGATATGTTTTCCTTCTAAAATTGTTTAGAAAACTTGTAGGTGACTTCACATCTTTCAAAAATAATATAGAAATTTTGAATACTTTCACATATACTAATATAATATTTTAGGTGTTTTAATATTAAACAACCAAATTTTATATTCTCTTATACAAAATAATGCAAATTTTATATTCTCTTATACAAAATAATTTTATATTGTTTCGACCCCGAATCTTTAATTTATAATTATTAAGTATCGTTTATCCTCATCTTTAATTTATAATTATTTTTTTCTTCTTCTTTTTAAATAGGATCAATAGTAGTTTCCACTTCCGCCATTGAATGACTAAAACTCGAGGTCTATTTATAATATTGTTGATTTAATATTGTTTTCATGCATCGGTACACACTAGTAAAAAGGAATCACATAAACAATATTCCGTACTTAGATCCTTCTTAAATATTTGTCTTGGATATTTCTTATATTTACTAAGTACAATCCTTAAATATTTATCCAAAATATTTCCATATCATTGGCAAATAAGTTTCTAGGTTTTTTTTTTTTTTTTTTTTTTTTTTTTTTTTTTTTTTTTTTTTTTTTTTTTTTTTTACCTCTATTGTTACATGTAATACATGTAACAATTTGTGCTATAAGAAGTCCTTTATCAAATTTATAGTCATAAATTCAAATGCGATTTTTTTAAACATACACTACATTAAATTTTATGCAGGTACTTGCGCCAATAAAAACAATAAAAGTACAGTTTTATGAAATAATACAGTTTTAACAAACTAATTCATTTTAAAGTAAAATGAATAATTGAATATAATATAATGAAAATTTTTAATATCATATTTGATTTTTTGTTGATCATGGATGATAAAATCAAAACTCAATTAATAACGGAAATAGTACTTAAATTTCAGGAACAATGCTCGTGTTTTACGTACCTACAACAAGAGTTTCCTGGGATTCGCAGCACTTTTGTCAAAGCAAGAAGCGAAATCCATGGAAGAATGTCGTGGAGTGGTGTCCGTGTTTCCCGACTCGAGTTTAGAACTCCACACGACTCGTTCTTGGGAATTCTTGCGTAGCCAAGATGCTTTTCGAATTATTAATAAAAAGGCTACTACTACTACTACTACTACCACAATCTCTCCTCCTTATGCATCAAATTTTTTATCTGGAGATCATGACACTATCATTGGCATGATAGATACAGGTGAACTAGTTGAATTGTACTACAGTATTTTTTATCTGATGATAATATAATTTGATGGGCAGCCTTCATTTTCATTTATAAATATTTGGAACCACGTCTTCAGGAATTTGGCCTGAAGCTTCCAGTTTCATGCCTACTCAAAGGATGCGTCAGACCCCGACTCGCTGGAAGGGAAAATGCTTGGGAGGAAAAAATTTTAGTTGCAACTGGTAAATTAACAAATTGTTTAATATACTCTCTTTTTCTCTGTTTCTCTCTCTCTCCTGCAAAGATTTCATTTAAGGGTGCATGGTGGACTAGAAGGTCGGTGAATGGAGGGTGTAAGTGGATGACTTCTCAGTTGTCCGAGGAGCGGGACTAGGCATACTTGTCGCCACACCTAAACATGGGCACAATGGTTGAACCAATGGCAAGGGTAACAGAGGAGAAGTGATAAAATTTCTTTCACCAATATTTTTCGTAGGTATGGCATACCTAGGGTGCTCGTGTTCGATAATGGAGCTCAGTATAAGTGTCAAAAGATAGCGAACTGGTGTGAATACATGAATATACAGCAGCACTTTTCCTCGGAGGCCCACCCACAGGGAAGTTAAAAGCTAAGGTCTGTAGGACTTTTGGGCATTGGGTCGACGAGCTAGACTCATTCTTATTAGATTACATGAATACGCTTAGTACCACAATAAGAGATACACCATTTAGCATGATATATGGCATGGAGGTGGTAATTCCCGCTGATATTGGCATTAACTGGGAGAGGATATCCTGTCATGAGGAAGAAGGAAATCCAAGCCAGCGCATTTGTCTTGACATGTTTAACAAGGTCACCACTACTTCAACCTTTTTGCCCTTTGACCACAGTAAGATGGTCTTTTCAACTATGGGCGAAAAGAATGGCCTTAGTAGGAGCTAATCGACTGGGATAGTTATTTACTATCAAATAGAGGTAGGTCATGGAAAGGTTCTTAGATGGCTGATCTAAAGGTTGAGGTGATGAGGTCAAAGAGGTGGATTGGTCAAAATTCAAAATCGAGAAAAATGTCAGAAGTATGGTAGACAGATGAAGAGGAATTGGGAAGATTGTCATATGCGTTGATCGAAAATGAGATGTTGCAGCAGTGAGACTTAATTGCTAGAAGAATTACAAATGTGGAAGGTGGTAAAAGTTAAGAATGAAGGATAAATAATCTTTTTATAGAAGTTATGGAACACAATCTCTGAGGTCAGAGTTCGACTATTAATTCGTGTGCAGCATCATTTGTCCTGATTAGCAAGGAGGTACTATATGATATGTGTGGAAGGGACGACCCAGGGTAGCCATTGATCTGGTGAAGATCAGTTATCCAGAACAGAAGATGTGTTGGGGAAAAAAACAATACAATATTTTTTCACAATATGTAAAAGCTCATTCAAAAATTGGGG